TCTTTCCCTCTGGAAGCCCAAGGGAGCATCCAGGTCTGCCTCCGCCTCTCTCATAGCTAGGCACACACAGACTGGGTGTACAGCCGGGGTGCTGTGTCATCTGTGTCTATCCCTCTGCCTTCCATCTCTCTCCCATGGGCCCCAGCCCGGGCATGGAGTGCAAGGCTCTTGGAAGCCCAGGAGCAAAGATGGACAAACATCCCAGAGAAAGGCAAGGACATGCCCAAGGTCACATACACAGCACAAAGACCACCACAGCCAGACTGGACCCCAGCAGGCCCTGGGTCAGTGATGGACAGAACCTCCTGGTTTCCCACTTCTCAACCAGCACAGGCGCCACAGGCTGGGCACTGAGCTAACTGGGTTTAGGCTCCCAGGATCCACCTTCAGCTTCTCCCTCTGGGACAGGGTTTATACTCTCAGGAGGTGGAATCTACCTTCTCTCCAGCACCCAGGGCACAGGGTAGGTCTGGGGCCAGGCCAGGCTGGAGGCCCCAGGGGAGGGCAAGGGTGCAGGGGGCCTGCATCAGCCCCTTCCTTTGTCCTGGCTCTACCTGCTGGGCTTCCAAGGACCTCTGGACACAGGGGAAGGAGGAAGAGAGAGGAGGAAGGGAGACTCCATCAGGTGGGTAGGCAGGTGGAGCCCCACCACCTGGGATCATGAGCACAGAGCATGTGCAGGGGCAGCTGGCTGTCCCAGCTCTGGGGGATGGGTGGGGGAAGGAGACAGAAACTCAACAAACACCTGCCATGAGTTTCAGCCTCCAGGAGTGACCCAAGCATCATGAGACTCTAGTTTTAGACCTGCCCTGTGACCTTGGCAGGCCACTCCCCTTTGTGGACCTCAGCCTTCTCATCTACCAACCAAAGGGATAATGAGAACACCTTCTCCTTCAAAGGGTTATTGATGGGATCAAGGCCACACTGTTGGCTAATGAGGAGATCCCATGCAGAGGGGTAGGCATGCTGGAGCCAGGCTGGCCTGGTTCCACTCCTGCCTCAGCTGCCGTATGTGGCTTGTCACAGGCAAGTGACAGCACCTCTGCAAGCCTCAGTTCCTTTGTTGGTAGCAGGGAGACAAGCCCACTACTGCGTAGGACTGGCCTGAGAGTAAATCATTCTGTCATCAGAAAAGTCATGACTTTTTTTTTCTATGTTTTTCCATGCAAAAATGTGTCATGACTTTCCTGACGACCCAATAGATGGATGGAAAGAAATGCATGGATCGGAGCAGGAGCTGGCTCCTATGATCAGAAATGGGATTAACTGCATGGAACCTGGCAGTCCTGGAATCTTGGGGGAGAAGCTCCGAGGCCTCCCCTCAACACCCAGGATTCCATCTGGCTGTGCTGAGGATCAGGGCTAGGGGGCTGGCCCCTTGGGATGCTAACCAAGGCCTGGGCTCATCTTCTGTCCCTAATACCGCACTGTGGGGAACAGTGTTGGGGGACAGCATGGGAAGAAAAGACAGAAAGAGCTAGACTGGGAGAGCAGAGAGCTGAGCTCCAGGCCAGGCTGTGCTGGGCCTGGGCTGTGTGAACCTGAGCTGGCCCCTGGTCATCTCTGGGTCTCTGTCTCCTCACCTGCGCCCCATAGTGGGGGGGCAAGGGAGTATGAAACAAGGATTACAAAAGGCCCTCTGGCACCAACAGCCTCTACTCTGTCTGAGAGGGAAGGAGGCTTGGGGTTCCAACCACCATGGGGGACTTGTGTCCTGCCCATATGCTTATTTTTCCAAGTTCTCTCAATATATTTCCAAGTCCTCTCCACCCCAAGGAAGGCCCTCTGACAAGTCTGATCTAGCCATGAGGGGTCTGCAGTGGCAGCCTGGCCCCCAGTCCCGCCAACTCCAGTCCTGGTCTGAGCTGGGTTTACTCATTAACCAAGCCAGATGGAGGAGGCTGCTCCGCCCTGTTGACACAGAGGGTGAGCATACTGGACTCAGGTCAGGCTCTCCCCTCCTCTCCCTTGCGGGGAGCTAGCTGGGGAGGGGGCAGGGAAAGGCAGTGCCCGCCCCACTTTGCACTACCAGCCTCACCCCCCTCCCAGGTCACAGACTCCCAACCGCCCGTTCACCTTTCATTCAGTTTGTTCCCTTGTTCCTTCCTTCCACCACCATCCCTGCCCTGTGCTGGATGCTTGAAGTGCAAAGAGGACAGGATCTGTCCCTGCACCAAGCTGGGACATACCAACTGCCCTCCCTTCCCTACTACTCAGCATGGACACAGCTCAGGGCCCCAGAGGGGGGCCTGGGTACAGAGAGTCACAGAGGATGAAGGGATGGCAGAAAGGATGAACCAGAAGCTCATGGGGGGAACAAATGGATGAAGCAGAAAGGTGCAAGGTCAGAGGGGAAAGGTCAGACATCTTGGGCCAAGATCACTGGGCTAAGTCTGAGACCAGGTCCCAGGAAGGAGGATCAGGGCAGGGGGTGCTCTCTGAGTCCTGCACCCTGCCCGATTACAACATGAAGGGCCTCCCACATGTCCAGCAGAAGGGTAGCAGAAAGGAGGAGGGGAGGGCAATGGAGGTGCAGGGTGCAGGCAACACCAGGAGCCCGCCAAGGAGAGACCTACCCATCCACCATCAAAACGTGGCACTCACAGCAACACCAAACGTACTGGGGACAGCTGATGAGGCCTCTCAACCAGAGTCATTACCAGTGTCTGCTTATATACTCCCAGACAGCGGTGGGTTCATGGGGCCCCAAACTGCCCTGTTATGGCAAAAAGAGAATCATGGAGTTGGAAGGAGCAGGGAGATGGCTGTGAGGGGCTGAGGTGTCTGCGCCTGCCCCTGTGCTGCTTTGACCCTTGACCCCAGGACCCAGCCCACCCTAGCCTGGGGCCATGTGATAACCAATATCCTGCCTTCTGGACCTGCAGGTGATTCAGAGAGCAGCCAGGGAGGGAAGGGGAAAAGCAAGGCCAGAAGCAAGTCCTTGGCGCCCAAGGGTGCAGAGAGGGGGGAAGGAGACCCAGCTCTGACACACCTAGGAATTAGGG